CCCAATTAAATTAATACTTTTACTACTTCTTGGACAGGGTTAGAACCTTTGAAGACTTTATCCACCCTTGCAACTCTAATGCCTGCAAATGTGTTTTAATCCAACTTTCTAAATTATTCTTGTTAGAAACATTGATTTACTACAAGCTATTCCACCTGAGCCCAAACATCAGGATGCTAAATTGACAAACACAGACCTTGTGGCCACTGCATCTCAATCATAGTAAGATGTATAGTAAATAGTGGGTACATTTGTTCAAAGGATTGGTAGAAACCTAGATGTGATGAGCAGGAGCCTCTTTTTACAGATCCTGCAGTTTATTAAGTCAATTGAAAACATAACGTAATAAAGGTAAAAGCTGGGGATAAGCAGCTGGGTAAGTTTACCCTTTGGTTATAGAGCAAGCAAGGTAGAAGACCCATATTACTGGTCCTGAGTACACAATTGATTTCTCTCTCTCAGCAGAAGCCTCTTAAAAGCAGCAAGTGTAGTTTGTGTTGATGAAGCAATCCCTGCTTATTGACCAAGTAACCACTCCAATTTTTTTTAAATAGGACAAAAATTATCATTGACTTTAGTAACCAATTTTAGTGATTCTAATAGTTAGTAAATTTAGTCTGTTCAGTATTTTTCTAATGGTGAATCAACAAAGCATTCTTTTTTGAAGTGCAGACTAAAGTAACCTACGTAGAACCAGTAAGATTATTTGTCACTAGAGTAGTACTTCTTAGTGGTCTCAAAAATGGTTACACATTGATGGAAGTCACAAGGTTGGTTCCTAAAGGACGATACACACTGAACAGAGTTAAGCATTCTACTACCAGAAAATGGAGATAAGTATCATAGTGTGTTGATGAAGCAATCCCTGCTTATTGACCAAGTAACCACTCCAATTTTTTTTTAATAGGACAAAAATTATCATGACTTTAGTAACAATTTTAGTGATTCTAATAGTTAGTAAATTAGTCTGTCATATTTTCTAATGGTGAATTCAACAAAGCATTCTTTTTGAAGTGCGACTAAAGTAACCTACGTAGAACCAGTAAGATTATTTTCACTAGAGAACTTCTTAGTGGTCTCAAAAATGGTTACACATTGATGGAAGTCACAAGGTTGGTTCCTAAAGGACGATACACACTGAACAGAGTTAAGCATTCTACTACCAGAAAATGGAGATAAGTATCATAGAAGGAACATATAAGCATTATATAGATTTGATGTATTGTAAGAAGTTTTATAAATGCCACAGTGTACCCCCCACCCAGCACAATAATAATTATATAAGATATAATTTTGCGGGCTGGTGGACTGGCTCAAATGGTAGAGTGCCTGCCTAGCAAGTATGAGGCCCTGAGTTCAAACCCCAGCACTGCCAAAAACAAATAAACAAAAAGATATAATTTTGCTAGTTCTACTTTCAATTAAAGTATTAAATATTGTGATGGACCATACTTCCCACCATAACAGCCAAACACAGAATAAAAATAAAAATCATATATTTTCAAATCACACAAGAGTTGTGAGAAGCAAATTCCCACCATCAGATCTTTTAATGACTGTGTAGGGTGCCATGCCAAACTGGAGGATTTCTTAATTAAAGATATCACACTCTCTTGTAATAACATTACACATTACACTATACCTCTGTATTTAAACTTGGCTACTATTGACTTCCACATGGCATGGAAAAGAAATAAGACCTAGTATCTAAATATTAAAACAGTAGCTCCAGGGATTTTGTGCTGACATTCATCATCATGTTTTAAGGGTTGGAATATCATTAATCCGGGAGGTTATTCTCTTTCTAAACCTAAGACAATGTGAAAGATTGTGACATCATCATTATCCTCTCAACAGGTAAATATGTTGCTTTATATATGCTACATTTTTTCCTTTATTTGCAGTTTTCTAGGAATTCCATCTGTCTTTGCTCTGATTTAACATCGGTTTTAAATCACTGGTTTTAAATTTTATTTTTGTCTCTTTGTGACTCCATCTTCAGTGCTCAGGGTGATTGTGACCCCTGACTCTGGAGCTCCAGCTTTCAGTCTTGCAGTCAGGTTTGGATCCTATATTCATGGAACTCCTTCCTCTGTTAGGTGCTTCCAAACCTTTCAACTGGGGTTATTGCAAGGAATACACATGATTACAAATGTGCAAGTAGATTGTGCTGGTAAATAGTGCCTTCCTTCCATTACATACTGAAGAAAATGTTGTAGTTAGGGTAAGACTATGGCTTGTACTCCTATGAAGAAGACTGCACCATCACATCCTATTGATGAACCTCAGAAATCCTCAACTTTTCCTGCAAGCTCTTCTACTCTTTAATCCTGCTGTCATAGTTTATATTTCCATGAGCTCTTTTGGTTTTCTGAATGTATCTTTTTTATAGTATCGTTACTTGTATTTCGTATCTTCTCTTATTAAAAAAGTACTAGTGGCTGCTTCTTCTCTCATCCTCTTCCTCCTTTTTCCCTCCTCCACCTGCATACAGTTTATTATTTTCAAATTACTTTTTCTTGAATTTTGTTGTTTTTGGTTTTGCTTTGCTTTTTTGTTTGTTTTTGTCCCTTTCTTATTAGAAATTCTCCTCCAATGTACTATGGACCTTGGCTATTTGGGACACTATCAAGCTAACTGAGCTAACTGGGAACTTTCCAATGGTGAGGCTTATCACTACAGGTTGATCTGGCTAGACAAAAGTGTATAAGGAATAGCCCTTGACTGAAGAAGAGTTTACAGTAGAATACTCTAGCGGTTCAGATTTCAACAAATAAAAGCTATTTATATAGTGACACTACAGCTATTAAGTTCACAAACTAACACCCATAGAAAAGTGTTATTTGTACTTCAAAACTAAAAGAAATTAAAATGTATCAAGTCCTCTTTCTTTGTTGATTTCAAGAAAAGTCTGTGATTGCCCTAGTACAGTTGCAGTGAGATATTTAGCTTCCTCTTTGATCTTATGGCTTCTATTTAGCCTGGCTACTTCCCACAGCTGGCAATACTTGAAAATAGGAGTGGGCCAGGCCAGTCACTCCCATTGGACCTTTCATACTTGCATGCAATCCAAAACGGAAAGAGATAAAGGTAAGCACGCAGGGCTTCAGCTATTCTTCAGAATTTATTTCCCCAGAGACAGCTGTTTGTTTTCTCATGGCATTTGACCAGGAGAAACTCAAAATATGAGTGAATGTCTGGAATAGTTTAGAAAAATATCAAAAAAATAACACTTTACCCTGAGGTTCACTGATATCAAATAATTGGGATGTTTACAGCAACAGAATAGTGACAAGTTCCTTATGAAGTCGCAGATAAGTGTTCAATATCTTAAAGAACAGATCCCAAATTATTAACAGTGACTCCTGGGGCCAGCACTGGTAGTGGAGGTGAGGCGCAGAAGATGATTCAGTTCTTACTTTACACATTTCTATGGTTAGTTTGGTTACAGTAAACACAAGTACAAAATGCCAAACTATAAAAACCAAACCTAAGAACTAAAGTTTACAAAACCTGCTGATATATGCAATTTGAGGCTCAAAACTAATCATAAACCTCTCAACTCACACCACACAATTAGAACTTTGATAGTTGATAGATTTTTTTTTCCACCTGTATCAGTGGCGACTTGAGCCAACTATAGCCTATTTTCTAGGTTACTTTAGGAAGATTTCCTTTGAAAACAAACAATAATTAGGTTTGCAATTTGGCTTCAAGAAGTAATAGAAAATTACAGTGGCTTCCCTAAATAGGGGGTTGTTTCATTCACATAATAAAAAGCCCAGACAGGCACAGCAGCTCATTTCATAGCACAAAATGCCCAGGATTCTTTTAGCTCCATTTTTTTGTCACCTTTGTGTATATATATATATATTTTTTTCTCCATGGTCATAAGATGACCATTCCACATTTGGGCATAAGCTCACCCAAGAAGGGGTGAGCAGAGAGCAAAAGGCAGGTAGTAGCCTTTTGGCAAGGAAAACAGTCACTTGCCAAGAGCTCTACCCAGAAGACTTCCACTTATATTTCATTTGTTTGTCCTGGGTCATACAGTCACCTCCAGCTGCAAAGGAGTCTGGCAACTTTGAACAACAGTGAAGTTCTGTAAATAACATCAAAGTGGAGGGTAGGTGTGGTCCGCTGACACTTCAACCCAGGAAAATGAGCTGGAATCCTTTAGTTGACATAGTAGCTAGTGAGCATGCACCCATTGGATTTTTCTGTCAAACCTTACATGCTCTCCTAGTTCCAGGTGGCATTCATATGCATATTTGTCTACCTTGGGAGCAGTGCATGAGGAGCTGCCCACTCCTGGCCCACTTATAGCAGAGAACTAGATAGGAACCAGGATGCTTTTTGGACTTTGCTGTCCAGGAGGGCTTAACTTCATTCACTGACTTCTTACCTCTTCCATGAAGTCTTCCCCAATTATTCAAATCTAAGTTGAGTTCTCCCTTTATTGATCTGCTAAAACCACAGGATTCTATATATTGCATATGGTTCTCATAAGACCATGTCTCACCTTCCTAAGCCAAGTGTGTGCTTCTCAACAGCTGGCTGTCTACGGTAGGCAAGGCCATGGGAAACGGGACAGTGCAGGGCCCCTGAGGACACAGAAGATGGTACCGAGGGCACATACTGGTTCATGGACGATGGGGCATCCAAAGACACAATTTAGCTACTTTAAAATAGTAGCTGACTCTCAGAAAGATACTGTTATGTGGACTTTAAATCACTGACAGCATGATGGTCCCCACTTTGGGCAGGTTTTAGCCAGTGTTCAACCCTGGTGCCTAGAAGTGTGTGCTGTCACAGCAGGAAATAAACCGTATCAGACTGGGGTCATGTACTACTTATATAAAGGTCCAAAGTCAAGTAAGCAATAAGCACCCCAGGGTGACTCTTCCTGTGGTCGTGGATGGCACCTCTTCCCCACCAACTGCTACCTGATTCCTCATAAACTATTCTCTCCAAAGTACTTTAACACAGGACAAAAGTGCAAGTCAACAACAGAAATGGAATAGTGAAGATTTAGACAGCAGCAAAAAAAGTTAAGAGGCTTTGCTTTTGAGTAAAAACCTTCCAACCACTCATCAACCTACATCTAAATGGCAAACTATTCCCACTGTTACTAATGAATTGCTTCCATTTTTTTTTCTTTAACTTATAAGATTTCATAAAGGAGCTTAGATTTTATCAGTAACAGCTACTTGAACAGTCATAGTAGAGGCTCATTTCTAAGACCTTGAATGATGAGTTAGACAGCAGTATGCTGCAGGCGTACGGTCATGGGCTCTGAGATTAACTGGCTGGGTTTATAGCTGCACTACTGGCAAGTTGCTTGAATGGGTTCAAGCCTCGTTCTCCTCTTCCGTTCAATTGGAGATAATAGCATTGCCACCTCATGGGGTATTGTGAGGGTTGAAAAAGGTCACACACATAAGCCCTTAGAACCTTGCCACACAGTCAATGCTCCACAAATGTCAGCTGTTAATAGTAATGTTTTTTAAAATTACAAAATATTTGCAGGTAGCAAGATGTAGATTTTTGGTGGGTCTTCGTGTTTTACTTTGCCACAGTTTTATAAAGCATACTCATATAATAGATATTTCCTGTAAGATTAAGAATCATTTTTTGTCTACCATTTTTAAAAACTATGTGATGGGGTTGACTATGTGGCACAGAGCATTTCTGCCTTATATAAGTAAATTTAAACTTTGCTTTCCAGATTGAAGCTATCCCTAAAGATAATTCTGTGCTGTCTGAGAGAAGAAGGGAGCTCCATAAGGAAGTTGAAGTAGCTAAGAGGAATTTGGCCCAACAGGTTAATATCAGCTGTTGTCTGAGCTTCTATCTCAGAATGGTAATACAAAGCTGTTGTGTTTTAACTCTGCTCCACAAAACCTCATCAATAAGCGTTATCCTACTAGGGGAGGAGAGGGAAAAAGAAAGATAAGGTAAGTGAGGGCAGTTGGGAGGGTGAACCAAACCATGATACCTGTTTATATGGAAATGACATGTGAGAAACCCATTAATATATAAAATTACATTAATAATTACATGCATTAATAATTGCAATTTAAGACGTTTAAAAAAAGAGTTATCAGTGAGAAAGTATCCTCCTTTTTTGTAGTACTAGGGATCCAAGCCACAGCCTTGAGCTTGCCAGGCAAGAGTTACAGCCCTAGCCCTTCCTTATCTTCAAGTTCACTCCAGCCCGTATCTTTTAATGAGATAAATCTACACAGGAAATAAAAGGGTTGTTCATATACTAGTCTTATTCTTTTCCTCAGTCAAATAAGTTGCACTTATGTTGTTTTCTTCAAAAGAAAATTCTATCCGAAGGTGAGTCAAAGTTAGTAGAACAACAACTTGCAGAAGAAAGCAAGCTTTTAAAGGAGCAAGAAAACATGCGAGAACTGGTGTTCAACCTTGTGCGCATGACTCAGATCAAGAGCGACGAGAGGGAGCAGAAGTCCAAGGACTTCCTGAAAGCTCAGGTAACTGTGTGTATGCAACCATTCATTAGTTACTATAAGAGTTCAGGGCCTTATTTTAGTGCAACATTAATTAGGAAGCTGCAACTGTAAGTCTCCTTCAAATCCCAATGACTATAAATTTTCCCTTAACAAGACTCAATCATGCACTGAAAATAGAAAGTTCCAGAATTCAATTAGCAATACTCGGCAGTCCAGAGAAAAGAGTGAGATTGATCATGAGAAGCAGAGGGTTTGAACAGATGGCGAGTGAGAATAAGGTAGGCACGTTCAGTAATGGTGCTGGCAGCTGCATAAGCCACAGATGGAGTCTGGGATTCACATCCCTTCAGGATTTGCCTCGTGACACTTAAAGAGCAGTTGTACAGGACAGATCCCCCTCCCATGTCCATCAAGTGAACATCATGCAAAGGACATCCTTCATGACTACTTCATCCCCAGTTTCCCAAGAAATGGCTGAATGCAGTATCCCAAAACAAAACCCTCCTGTTGTGCTAAAATTCTGCCACTAGAATCAGTTATTCCACACAAGAAGTTCCCTGTTTAAAAATGAATCATGCAAAGGACATCCTTCATGACTACTTCATCCCCAGTTTCCCAAGAAATGGCTGAATGCAGTATCCCAAAACAAAACCCTCCTGTTGTGCTAAAATTCTGCCACTAGAATCAGTTATTCCACACAAGGATTACATCCAAATTATGCCCAAAAGTTCCCTGTTAAAAATGAACACAGCCTGGGGGTGTAGCTCAGTGGTAGAGCACTTGCCTAAAATGCATGAAGCTCTTTGTTTGATAACCAGAACAGCAAAAAAAAAAAAAGTGTGTATATATATTATATATATATATTATTTATATTATATATAATATATATATATATCCCAGCACTCAAGAGGTAGAGGCAGGAGAATTGAGAATTCAAGGACAGCCTGAAGAACAGGACCTGCCTGGAACTAAGGGTCGGGGGAGAAATGACCCAAACAATGTATGCTCATGTGAATAAATGAATAATTTTTTAAAAAGGACAGCCTGGGCTAATAGTGAGACCTTGTCTCAAAACATACAATAAAGGGGGACCAGGCATGATGGTACATGAGTGTAATCCCAGATACTCAGGAGGTGGTGATCAAGAGGACCAGAGTCAGAGCCAATCCAGGCAAAAAGTTAGCAAGATTCCATCTCAAGGGAAAAGCCAGGTTTAGTGGCTAAGACTGTAATCCCAACTATACAGACGACTTAGAGAGGAGAATCACAATCTGAGGCTGGCCCCAGGCAAAAATGTGAGACCCTTTTGGAAATACTAGAGCTGGAAAGGCTGTGGGTGTGGTTCAAGTGATAGAGCACCTGCGTAGCACCACAAGGCCCTGAGTTCAAACCCCAGTATTGCCAAAAAAAAAGAATATGATGTGACCTATTACTAAAATAGAATGTTTGAATTTATCATACAACCCAGATGCTGACCATTTCTAAGTGCAGCCTTTGTTCTCATTCTCAGTGTTTAGATGGGGATGGAGTTTCTTCTCATTCCCCAGGAAGAACTCATACACACTAGAGCCCTGTGAGCAATGAGATTAAATAGACTGCAGAGAAGACTGAGGAGAAAGATCTGCATCACACAGCCACATCAAACTCTTCCCATTCCCCTGTCACTGCTCATTTTTTCATCTTCACATTTGAAAAACTAAGAGTTCAGCATGGTTGGTCCAGGGGAAACAGGCAGACAGGACATCAAAGAGCTATTAGGAGGTCAGATGGTGAAGGTCACAGTCTGTGTTAAATCATTTGGGTTCCATCTTGGAGACAGCAGCAAGCCCAATAGAGTCCATGGGATAGTCAGGTTCCGATGGGGAAAAGAGGCAGGAAGGGAAGGAATGGCAGGCCAGGAGAAGAGGACAACTGAGGGGAAGTAGAGATGCAAGAAGCCTGTCTCTACCAAGATCGGGGATGCAGCTGGTCCAGCACAGGGTTTTTAAAACCACCTGCTGTTGGCTGGGAAGAATCTACCTCAGTGAGTTGCTCCTAGTTAGAAAACTTCCCCTATTTTCTCTTTGGAAATTTTAGAAACAGTAGAGAGATACTTTGTTATTACAAGAAAAACTGATGTATTTTTACCAATTAGAAAAGTTCCAATTAATCTCAAAAACTGTTATATATGTTTAAGTAAGTCTATGTAAACAAAGTTCTCATTATCAAATGAGCTAATTTGTATTAAAGTACAAGACAATTCTCTGAGATTGAAAATCAATCAAGTATCTTTAGCATTGGGCATGTCTGTTGACCATTTGCTAACATTAGCTGTAATTTCCATAAGAAGGCATTCAATCTTACTTACTTTCATACCATATCTACACACCCTCCCCAAAAGTAGACAAGATGAAAGGGAAAAAATTGATGCTGCTACTACCCCCAAGACAGAGAAAATGATACTATGTTTTATGCCTGTTTTATTCTTTTTATATATAGCTACCTTGAAAGGTTAGCTTTTTCTTGACTCCCATTCTCATCTAGAGTAATATAAAATAAAATCACTGTACTCAGTCTTATTTCTGATATCACTTATGCCAGATGGATTTTACTCTCCGTGCCTTTGAGGGGCTGACAGAAACTCTTCCCCTAGGGTTCTACCAGCTGAATCTCCATCTTTGAACATGTTTCTGATCCTAGATACAGGAGCCAGTGTCTTTCCGCTTGATGAGTATCACTAGTGTTTTTAGCACTTGCTATCTTTTTAGGACTTTAGAGATATAATTGTTTTGTTTTGTTTTGTTGCCTAATTCCCTTCCTTTAATTGTTGACAATTTGTCCTATTCCCCTATTAATATATATAACCATTTAGTTATGCTGCAGCAATTTTGGGAAATTAAAAGTGTTTTACTTCTGTACAGCCTGTAGAGCTGCTCTCAGCATGGTGCTTTATTGTGTAAGAAAACACATCCATCAAACAAAAGAACAGAAGAGCACTTTAAAACCATTGCTTGGATCTCTCACAAAATACCAGACGGTTTAGTTCTACCATTTATTAAGACTTTCTGTGAATCTCCTTCCTTCATCTGTCTCCCAGAAACTCCACACTCACCAGGTTCAGTTGTGCAGGCTACAGTCACTCTTCTCTCAACAGTTCCCCAAACTTTTCCCAACCTGTGCCTGCTCTTTTCTTTTTCTACTCTCTCGTTCTTTCTCTTGGGTGACCCTTTGTCCTGGCCAGTGTGAATCAGTTCGGTTGGCCAGGCAATTTTCAGATTTCCCTTGTTTCACTCAACCTGATCTGTGCAACCCAGCAGGACAAGATGGGTTGTTTCTTCACAGACAGAAACAGTGGAGATCAGCTGGGAGTGTTTATCTGTTGTTGGTTTTCTTAATGTCACACATAATTTTTACATTTCAGCAAAAACATAACAACATTGTTAAGGAAATCAAAGCAAAAGATCTTGAAATCAGGATATACAGGAAGAAAAAACGTGAAATTCATCGGAGGTAAAAAGAATCCCATGATGATTTATCTTCTTCAATGCGGGAAAGCTGATTTTTATTTTACAAGTTTCAAAAACCACTTTGTATGTTCACAGACTCAGAGAGTTTGCTAAACTGTATGACACAATTCGAAATGAAAGAAACAAGTTTGTTAATCTACTTCACAAATCTCACCAGAAAGTAAATGAAATAAGAGAAAGGTATAAAATGTCGTTAAATGAACTGGAAATTTTAAGAAATAGTGCAGTTATTCAAGAAAGGTAAGAACTGTAACAACTATTCTTCTTTCAAAGCTTTGTCTTCTGTTTCATTGGAACTCTATTCTATGGTCTAGACACTATAGTCTACAAAGTAATAGTCTTTTGTAGAACTGAGAAAGCTCTGTTCAAACACCTTGCTTCACACAGCTAATAATCTAAGCATTTAAACACTTATACTTTTGAGGGAGAGCCACATTTTTTTAGTGAATGAGAAACTGCAATATAAAACCATGTTTACTATTAAGATTTGATGATGTTCATTTATTCAGTGAGGAAGAAAAACATAAATCTGATCATTTTCATTGGAAGTTTGAAAATAAATTATTGGCCACCCACCCATCGTGGTAGATTTAAAGTACCTACTGTGCTTATGGGAGGCAGTACAGCAGAGCAGCTAGGAGAAGTGGTGGTGTAGGCTCAAATCCCAGCCCTGACTCTTATTAGCTATGGGGCCTTGGGCAAGCTATGTTACCTCTCTGGGCTCCTTTTCCTTATCCATAAAAATTGTCCTTATTTCATAGGACTTTTATTATGATATGAGGTAATCTATGTAACCCTACTCAGAAGGGGATCTAGAAAATGGTAGTGTTATTTGTTGTCTACCATGTGCCAAGATCTGTTGGACTTTCATCTGTATTAGCTCCTGACCTTCCTCTCAAGTGTACACAACATGGACTTTTTCTATTGGCCATTACTGCCTATGGACCTTTAATAAAGATATTATAAAAATGGTTTCCATTGGGGATGACAGTGGTTTGAAAAGAAAATAATTTCCTAAATCATGTTCTCACTCAACAGGAAAGTCAAGTACCATTTCCAGAGGCTATGATTTTATAACCAGAGTTCTAGGCCAGAGGCGTAGGGTTCCAACATGGCAGATTCAGCCACTGGCCACAATGTGCCAATAAAGAGTAGTGGTAAAGGGCAGGGAGAGATTTGTGAGGTGCTAGCCTGTGTCTGGGAAGAGGAGGCACTCCACCATCTTTGGGATACAGGCATGAGCTTTATGTTTAAATGGAGAAGGAATTGGGACAGAGATATGCATAATGAAGCAGTCCCTGGAAGTGTGGCCTGCCTATTGTGTCAGTTCTGGTTCTGTGAGGGGCTCCAGAGATATTATTGCTGCCATCACTTCAGGGGAATAATCTGGTCCCCCTGAGATGATTACTTCAGCCTCATCATTGTAACTGTCCTCATTTGGAGGGCAGTGGTGGTTTGTCCTATGAGGCTTTGTTGTTCCTTTCCTTGGGGTAGCTTTGGTCCCCCTTGCCATAAAGACATTATCAATCAGTTCTGTCATTGTCAGAATGCAAGGTGATTGTAGGAGAGACACTCAGAGAAAAATGGAGGCAAGGATGTCAGGGTTTTAATCCTGCTGTTAATTTGTGGGGTCAAGTGAGGAGTCAGTGTCTTTTAGCAAAAGCAGTTTCTAAGTACCTGTTATAATTTCATTCAGTATGAATTATGATCCTACACTAAGTCGTGTGTCACCTCAGGTCCAATAGACACTATCAGTAAAACACCTCTGTCCTTGGGAGAACACAGCCTCCTGAGGATGACAGAGCAATAATGAGTGGCTCCAGTCTCTATCTTTGACAAAAGAGGCAGCACAATGGCAGGCACAAGGGCAAGGGGTCTTGAGGTACATGGAGAGAGGAGGATCTGAGACTGGGGATACATACACGAACTCCTGAAGAATATCATGTGACAAGTGTCACTATTTTACTACTATTACCTCAAGAGACACACTAGAAGCAAGAACTGCTTAGCACTACTTGTGTTCCAAAAGTCATCATTGTTTTTAAAGAAACTAAAGAAAATTATAAACTTATCCACTGTACCATTATTTTAAAGAAAGTTGCAAAATAGCATGCTGAAACATGCCAACAATATTACCATCCGAGAGAGCATGCAAAACGATGTGTGCAAAATCATGTCAAAGCTTCAGGAAATGAAAGAGAAGAAGGAAGCCCACCTAAGCAGCATGGACCGGCTTGCCAACACGATCACCATGATAGAAGAGGAAATGGTGCAGCTGCGCAAGAAGTACGAGAGAGCTGTGCAGCGGCGGAACGAATGGTAAGCCAGGACCTGGCGGGAGAACAGAGCACTGAGGGAGCCAATTTGGATGTCGCCCCCTTTTCTACCTAGACTTGACAGTCAGTAGCAAGGGATGGGTGCCATTTAGGTTCCATTAGCCTTTGAAGGGGAAGGAGCTGGGTGTTTTCCTGAAAAATAAGAAATGGCATCCTTAGAAGAGAAAGAGGCAAAGAGGAAGGTTCTGGAAGTTTCCCACTTGAAGGTCAACTTCTTTTCTCAGGCTTCCCTTCAAGACGCCTCTGATAACATCAGGTTCTTTCCATGTCATGGACAGAAATAAGTCTTTGGAACTTGCCTCCATTTTAGTGGCAAGGGTGGGCTTCTTATATTTCCCAAGCCATCCTCCAAGTTCATTTTCTTATCAGGTAAAGAAGATATTTAGCAGTAACATGGTTTTTTTCTAGGCTGCAATTGTGTCATTAATCATTTCCCTCAGGTTGCTTGTGCTCTCAGAAATTAGAATGTGAGACTCCAGAGCGCTGAAGTAATGGGATCTGGTATCAGAGGTTTTCATTAAACCTTGTGTGTTATTCCGTGTAAAGCTTTGGAGTGGTAGACACTGAAAGCACGAAAGGATGGTAAAACGTTGCTCCTGGCTTCTGTTGCCAAGAGAACTTGGTCATGATTAGAGTCTTTGACAGAGAAATGAGACAACATACAGAGCTGAATTGAGCCAGGTACAAGTACCTGCATACATTTAGGAGGGAGGAGAAAGAGACTTAGCTAGAAACACTTAAAGGTGGACCTCTGGGTGAGAGGTATGCAGGAGATGTGAGAAGACTTCTAGGATCCATGAAGAGCAGCACTTTTTCAAAGGGCTGAGTTAAAAACAAACAAAACAACTCTATTTGGCTCCTGGCACAAACCAAAGCATTTGGGCAAAAGTGTATTCCCAGAGCCTGGTCGTACCAGAGCTGCTGGAGTTAGAAAATCCTTACTTTGTTTCTTTCCAATGGTCTCCTACACCCACCCACCAACATGATTGTAAAGGGCAGATTTTTGCCTTTTTATGGGGAAATTAGCATCAGACATACATGATTTTAAAAGAACCTAACAGCCCTGATGACTTACAAGAACAGAATCACTCCAGAAACACAATCCCTGGCTCCATGCCTGTGTGCTTCTAGCCAGGCCCTTGGTTGGCACATCTGGCCCAAAAAGGGGTCTGCAGAAAATCAGACATGGGATCATTTTGTTCATGCATTGGGAATGACATTCTTTCCCACCCCGGAAAACCCTTTGGGACCTGCCGAGCCACTGTGGCTAGCCAACCACAATGTTAGCCTGAGAGTAGGATGCTAAACCCTTCTATCCCCAGAAAAATCCAAAGTGTGTAGTTGAACTAGAAAGCTATTGGCAAATAAATGCAATCTTCTGGAATCAGGCTGTGTTGATGTATATTCACATCCAAAGCCAGAGAACCATAATGACTAGTAGAACAGTGGCCTCTTCCTCTGAATTTGACCACAGTGGCGTTCAGCTGATAGAACGGGAAGAAGAAGTATGCATCTTTTATGAAAAAATAAATATCCAAGAGAAGATGAAACTAAATGGGGAAATTGAAATACACACCCTGGAAGACAAGATCCGATTCCTGAAACTGAAGATTGCTGAGAAGCAAAGACAGATTTGTGTGACACGGAAACTAGTGCCAACCAAGGCGGCCCTGGACGCTGACCTAGCTGTGCTCCAGATTCAGGTGGGAGAGCCACCATGGGACACTCACTTGGGCCATTTGCTTTCCCCCCCATTTACTCGTAGATTATGAGTTCTTGCATGTAAAGCAAGCTGTGCTACTTTAAACACTGCTCCAGGCTGGAATCTGTGCCTCAGGTGTCCAAGCTACACTTTTTTTCCCCTCCTCATGAAGCATTTTTGACCTTTCTTGGAATCTAGACCCTCCCAGGACTTATCTCTAGCTCATCTTTCTCATGGCTCCAAACTTCAGCAATCTAAGCTCTTATTACCTCTAGCATAATTACGTTGTTAACCCTTGCTGGAAAGACCTTGGGGACCCTCTGGCTCTGACATTTGGTACTCTTGCCCTCTCAAACAGATGATTACCTAGAGATTGTTGTTTATTCATTTGCAATCACATGTAATGAGACTCTTATCAACTTCTGTGGTTCCCTTATAATCTAGTAACTTGGATCTGACATGGTCTTTCTGTGAAGTGCAATAAAGTCAAAAAAGTTCAAGTATGCAGGAGCAAAAAAAATATGAAATATGAGTAGAAGGTTACTTTCTTCACATGCAATAGATTTTTCTTAATGACAATAGATGAAAACATTAAACTAAGAAAATTATTGCCTAAATTTTCCCATTAACTTAATGTAGCAGAAAGAAATTCTAACCTATTTGATGTTTTCTACAACATCAGGTTTTCTTTTGGATTTTTTCCTGGTTGTAAAATTAAGACATATTCAGTTAGTGAAATCTTTAGGAAAGTATGAAAATTTAATGAAAATTATTCCTAAAATATAATTGCTGTTAAAATTATCAAAAATCTGGAAGAGGTCCTTTATCCTGAGTGTGCAAATAAATGTTTTATTAGTTCATGCCCTAGACACAGTTTGGGGCACTTCTATATTTTTACTTAGTCATGTCAAAGGACTTTCTAGAACTGAATGGTGGATTAATTTTCATATTTTAAGCCTTTCAATGTTTGTACTTTATATAAAGGACAGACAATAAGCATCCTCTAGTTTGAAGGTCCTGATTCCATATTTGCCACAAATACTCTCATTCATTTCTTCAATAAGTGTAGCCCAGCTTTGGTCCATTTGCTGGAATTAGGCTTCGAGTGTCTCCCCAGGATTCCCATGACTCTGACTCCAGCTTTAACAAGTGGTTCACTTGGGGGATCATCTCCTCAGCCCGCACACACAGTGTATGCTCCATTTCTGCACTATGTCAGGGCACACTCTGAACTGGCTCCTTCCTCAAGCTATAGCCACCCAAGACCAAGCTTGCAAGACTTTTAAACAGATTTCATTGAAGACTTAGGGCAGCAGCATGTTGAAGTTGCTTTAGAGAAATGCAAAGAACTTCAAATTAGATCTCCATCACTTCAGAATGATCCCCATGCAGCATGCTCACCATCCCTCTCTGGGCTTCTTCCCAAAACACAGCTTCAGGTCTGTCTTTGTCCATCCTAAACTATCAAGATGCCAAGCAGAACAAAAAAGGTTTTAAATTCAATAAGCTCTAAAATGAACAACTTCTTAATTGTTGTATCCTTTGTGTTAACTGCAAATCAATTCCTCCGCCCAGTGGATAAAATTAACCATACTTAGAAAGAAATCAGCTATCCAATGTGAAGTAATAATTCTGTTTTACCCAAGAGAGAACTATCATGTATTTAACAATACTACATGTCCTGCTTGATGGTGACCCTTTATCATTCTGACTGCATATAAATTGAGACATTTTAAGGTACCTACTTTACCAGGGCCCATTCTAAGCTTAAGAACAGTTGAATAGAAAGTTTCCTATTCATCTTTAAATGGCACTTAACCATTTGATTATCCACGACTCAGCACTGATCCCATGTGCCCTGAAAGGACATGATGTGAAATTTCTAGTGTCAAGCAAGCCACGTTTGTACTCTGTCCTCCAGGGCTGGATCCTTTTCATATCCTGTTATTTGTTATATTGGCAGTTCTTTTTTTTTAATTGTCCAACAGACTAATCCAAGGATTATCATGAGTCATATCCTCCTGGTTCTTGCAGTAATAACTCCATTTTAGGGATCGTAGAGGTCTCATTTAGGACTATTTTAGGACACTAGAAAACTATTTTTCATAGAGAAAGTAAACAGCCCAATGGGGAAATTAAATGAAGGCACCACTTTGGTAAATAAACACCATGTCTGTGTCTTAGTTTCCTAAGTAAAGAAGCTAAAACTAAAAGGAACATTAAGAACTGTTATTAATAAATACAACAGATTCTTAATATACTTCAGTTCTATATTAAGGGCAATTAAAGAAGGTGGAGAGAAATGGAAAAAAAATAATGTCACCATTTAAAATTCTTTTTATAGAGAGAAGCAACATCGATTAAAATTCTAAAATTCTATGTGTATCACTCTTGGGTCTGTTACAAAGTACATTAAATGTTTTGTCTCAGCCTCATGAAATTGAGCCTTATCATCCCATGTGAAAATTGACAAAAATAAGGTTTAGAGAAAATAAATGATTGCCTGATTACACAGTGCTCGGATAGGAAAGCTAAAATAATGTCTCTTGATTGTCACCATGTTCTATATGTCTCCTTAGAAAACAAAAACTAAGGGGGAGCGACCATTCCTATTTGGGAATGGTCACATTTCTTTTCTTTTATTATTATTTTTTATTTTTTTTAATTATTTGTTTATTCACATGTGCATACATTGTTTGGGTCATTTCTCCCCCTGCCCCCTCCCCCACCCTCTTCCCCCTCCCTCCCACTTCCAGGCAGCACCTGTTCTACCATTATCTCTAATTTTGTTGAAGAAAAGACACAAGCATAATAAGGAAGACAAAGCATTTTTGCAAGTTCTGTAGCTATACAGAGGTATTTCTAGCATTGCTTTTGTGTACACATGTGTTACAACCCATGTTGATTCATCTCTAACTGATCTTTACACTGGTTACTGATCTCTTTCTCATATTAACCTCTGTCGCTTTAAGGTTTCTGTATTAGTTCCTCTGGAGTGGGGACATCAAATGCTTTCACGTTTTGGGTTTTCTACCTATCCCTATATCTCCCATATGTGCCCTCCCCTTGTCATGTGATCCAAGTCCAACCACATTGCTGCATTTGCCCTAGATCTAAAGTCCGCATATGAGGGAGAACATACAATTTTTTGTCTTCTGAGCCTGGCTAACCTCACTCAGAATGATGTTCTCCAGTTCCGTCCATTTACCTGCAAATGATAAGATTTCATCCTTCTTCATGGCTGAGTAAAATTCCATTGTGTGCAAGTACCACATTTTTTTGATCCATTCATCAGTAGTGGGGCATCTTGGTTGTTTCCATAACTTGGCTGTTGTGAATAGCACTATTCATATTTCTTCATCCACCTCCAAGTTGCAATGATTCAACAACTATAGTTGGTTCATAAGTCATGGTATTATGACTTTAACAACAAAAAAAGTGTAAATGGCCGAGCTTGTCCTCATAAAGTATATGCTGGGCTGCCCCAGAAATTTAATTTCTTTCTTCTTCTTTGGGATGCCATTAACTCTACTGCCAGCAAAGGGCTTTTAAAGGAGTCTAGCATGTCATAAGCTAGCTACCCTGGTCTATCAAACAACCTGCAATGAAGAGATGAAGGCCGTGTATTTTGAGCTCTGAAACCACATAGAATCCCACAACTATCACCCACTTGAGAAGCAATGGAAAGGCTGCTGTGAACTCAGTTCTCTCTATTGAGAGAAAGACAAAACCTGCTTCCCTTTCACAGATCATTCTAGACATCATCTTTACAGACCCATGAGTGAGCAGAAACACTGCTTAGTCCCAGGTCCCAGGTGATAGGGTGCTAAGAAAACAGAGTCTTCCACTTTGCCTGGCTCAGTCCTTCTGAAGGACCCTAGAGAGCCTGGTTACACAATTGTGAGATTCGGTGAACTAGAGAGTTAGACTTTGAAGCTGTTTATTTTTGGGCATAGGGGAGTTGTAGAGGTTTTTTGGGGGTGTGCAGTACTGGAGATTGAAACCAGGATCTTTGGCAGCACTCTTACTACTTGAGCTACATTCCTAGCCCTAATATTTGTTTCTTGTTTAATAGTTCTCACAGTGCACAGACAGAGTAAAAGACCTGGAGAAGCAGTTTATAAATCCTGAGGGTAGCAGAGCCCGCCTCCTTCCAGGGAAGGATCTGACGGAAGAAGAAATGATCAAGAAATTAGATGAGGTAAGAAATCTTGATTAAAATTGCATCTATCTGCCCCTTGTTGATAGCTTCACTTCCTATTACACTGACAGACCTACCTTCATTATTCTTGCCACTAATGTAGTCCTTTCATTGCAATCAAGTCACAGATTCTAAGCTTGATTTAGACACTTGCCAAAAGAAGTCAAAGTTCAATGGTTTTGAGATTCTAAGGGACCCTTCTCTCATAGCCCAAGAAACAATTTTGACTTCTTGAAAGGATGGATTAATTTGTCTTCCTGATGGGAACTGATTAGAAAAAGAAATGGCACTGTGGATACCAAACAGAGCTAGCGGGCCAGTGTCTGCCACTGGGGAAGAACTAGAGGGCTTTGGGACAGGGGCAGCCTTGACTTGGACCAGCTCCACACACTTTCCAGAGGTATTTTGGCAACTGAGAAAGCAGTGTGTCTTGATTGTGGGGTGGGGGTCAGCTGGAATTCTAATTAGGAAATAAGACTGTGTCTTCCATGACCTTCCCCTACCACCACTGAAATTGTTTTCAACTGTAGCTGGATATGCAGCTGGCCAGGAAGGAGGAGAAGTTACTAGAGAAAGATTTCATCTATGAACAGGTGTCCCGGCTCACGGACAGGCTGAGCAGCAAAACTGAGGCCTGCAAGCAGGACACACTGATCCTCGCCAAGAAGGTCTGCCTGAGGCCCTGCCTTCTCTTCTGCCCCTGCTCTTCCATTAACTTTCATTTTCCAGACTGTTTGGCTTGTTGAGAGAAACAACAGAGAGGTTAGACTTTATGACTAGAGAAACGTATCAAAATGTAAACACAACTCTTTAAGAATTATCCAAAACAAGTTTTAATTTTGTTCCCTGAAAAAATGCATTTTATGGTGAGAAAGCCTAAGCTTTTTAATGACAGTATATAAGTTTCATCTATCAGGGCAACTACTCAAATATGACAGTTGTTATCTTTGTATTTCATGCACAAAGTTAAATCATTTTTAGTTCCTCATGTATCCAGTGGTCTGAGTAGGAACTGCTCCAATCCAGAACTCATCCAGAACCCACAAAAGGAAGGGGCCATTAAAGAGAACAGCAATCATGCAACACCTACATAGACTGCACCATATGGAGGAGCTACGGCCAGACACAACTAATGAGGAAAGGCCAGTATCATGGAGCTTCCTAAGTGAACACGCTTAAGATACTAGGACTGGAGGTTCCCAGCTGCTGGGGCTAGGAATCCTAGAAGCTACACTATAGCCAGCAAGAGGGAGGTTAGTGATTCAGAGGCAGCAAGGTCAGACCCAGCACCCTGAGCAATGAGAGGATAAGCCACTTACCTGGCCTCTGTGGTCCCTTAGAGCATCACACCAGCACAGGGATTTCAGCCACTCAGCTGAAGTTACTGAACATTTGCTATGTCCTACTCTCATACTAGGCATGTACAGAACAAAGAAGGAACACATTGTCCACACCATCTGAAGCTCATTCCATCAGGGAGATGAGACAGAAGAATATAATAGATAATGGTGATGCATACACCCCAGACTGTGGGTTGGAAGGGCAGCAATGATTCCTCGTTCTTTTTAGTTTCCTCAATGCCGACTATGTAATAGACTCTAGAAAAACATTCATGACTAAGTAAACAATCAGTACTATTCTACAAACACTTTTTGCACCTTACATAGGAAATGATTATAAATCTTAGGCTGCTTTCACCATTTTTATATGACTTTTACACTCTTGCTTTAACTTCCACTAATGGACTCAGCAGTACAGTAGCTGCTGTCCAATTCACACCTTTACCTCATAAAATAAGAAATGCTAAGATTTGTTAAAGCTCATGAATTTTGCCTGAATTAACATGCCCCATGTTTCTGTAAATGTTAGCTTCCTTCCCTTTGAAAAATGACTTTCCCTTTCTTTGGGGGAAGTCATTTTTCACTGAGGGAGATGTGGATTAGTTGGTGTGAATGCCAGAGGCTCTCTAGGAGGCACCCATAATGCTAGAGAAACGCAAATGGTGACCACTTCGACATGGCCCAGAAGACAAAATTAACATGGCAACATTAGTCCAGACCTCTTTCTTGCTCTCCTTCTCACCTCTTAAAAATAGACATTAAACAATTCTATCAACCTTGACATTTAGTAACTAGATAAACATACTTTTTTGCTTTGCTGTCCTATCCTTACTTACACAACTAGGGTTTGGGGCCCACTCTATGATCTATTTTAGTTCTTATTTTCTGTGAATTTCCAGATAAACTCTCCATCCTTCAGGCAAGAATGTTCCACCATTATAGATAGCCAGCAGTCTCCCATTTTCTTCAAGTCTTCATGGAATGTCTAGATTGATGAAATCTTGGGCTCTTTAATTCTAGATGAATGGCTATCAGAAAAGGATCAAAAATGCTACCGAAAAAATGATGGCTGTTGTTGCTGAGCTGTCCATGAAACAAGCCCTGACTATTGAACTCCAAAAGGAAGTCAGGGAGAAAGAAGAATTCATCTTCTCTTGCCATTCTAGGATGGAGAAGGGTCTGCCGCTCAATAAAGAGATTGAGAGTGAATGGTTGAAGGTACTTCGAGATGAAGAAATGTATGCCAGAGCCATTGCCGAAACATCTAGGGTGAGCTGTGGCTCCCATTTGCATTTGTAAAGTGTGCCAGAGAGGGCTGTTTTCCGGGGGGGGGGGGGGGGGTCAGTCCTCTCAAGATACACATTGACTCTCCCTAATCTGAAATGCTTAGGACCAGAAGTGTTTCAAATTTTCTCTGATTTTAGAATATTGCATAATGAGATATCTTAGGGATGGGACCTACATCTAAAGATAAAACTTATTTTTATATACACCTTGTACACATGGCCTGAAGGAAATTTTATATAATAATTTTAATGCATCTGTGTTTTGAATGTAACCAGTCACATGACATCAGTTGTGGACTTTTCCTCTTGTGACATCATGTCAGTGCTCAGAAAGTTTAGGACTTTGGACCATTTCAGATTTTTTAATTAGGGATGCTCAACCTGTATATGAAAAATCTTTCACTCTACCCCACAACATGGTTCCAGTAACCATTAGAAAGAATTTTGTTATGTAGACAAGTCAAAGTACTGTCATTGTCCCTGAAGAATGCTGGGCAAGCACCAAGTCCCATCCTTAGTCTTCTGTCCTGGGCTGTTGTGGTTGAACATCATGGCCTCCCCCAGCGTGGCTATGACAAGGTTAGCTTTGACTTTATCCATAGGTCTGTATTTTCTGTCATCAAACTTCTGTTCAGACCACACCTGACTATTCCGTGTCCATCTGCTTTGGCTTCCACAGAACATTGTGAGATCTCCAGCCATGTTATGGTTGCTACAGATTTCTGCAGACACTGCACCTGGTGTGCATCCTAGGCCCCCATGCTACTACTTCCTCCACACCCCTGATCAAAGTCTTGGACTTTCTGAGTCCATCTCAAGTTTGGTGCCCAGTTCTTCTGTTGACCTCCATAACCTTTCAGTAGTTTAAGATTGGAATTAGGCATCTCTTTCCAATGATGCTACATCCTGGGATCCAAGTCACTGAGACAGTCAAGTGGATGTCTCTAAAAAGATCACTCTCTAACCCAAGAGAAAGGTACATTCCAAACACATATAGGATACCTGAGCACAGGATCCGATTTGTGATTTCCATACTGCCTGGGACTATCCTTTTTGGGCATCAGATTTTACTTGTGATATTCCCACTGTCATTTAATTTCTTCATCATGTAGAGTTCTTTTTTGGGCCATAAGAGGTGATTTTCCAGCAGCACAGGCAGAATGTTGAAGACCTTGAGCCTCAAACCAAGCTGCTGACCATTTTTTCTTCTCTGGTTCTACTTTTCTCTTGTAACATTTGCTCACCAGTGACTTAAGTGAAAATTATTATCCTGCCTTTGTCAAAAATGTGGTTCATGAGGTTCATGACAGATACGGAAGTTGGAATCCACCACACAGCTTTTCTGGTTGGTTAGTACTGAGGTTTGAACTAAGGGACTCATGCATGGTAGGCAGGTTCTCTACCACTTGAGCCATGCTCCCAGCCTTTTTTGCTTTAGTGGGTTTGTTTGTTTGTTTGTTTGTTTCTAGATAGGATCTCACTAGCTTTTTGGCTGGGATGGCCTCAAATTGCAATCTTTCTATCTCTACCTTCCAAATAGCTGGGACTACAGACATGCACCACCATGCCCAGCCCTAAAGGTTTACACCTTTAGGTAAACCTATGCTCCTGGCATAGAAGGAGCATGGTCTGTTTTTTGGGTAGTACTGGGGATTGAACTCAGAGCCTCACCCTTTCTAGGCATCACTTGAGCCACACCCCAGTCCCTAAACAATTCTTGATAAACTCCAAACCGCAGCATCAGCCTGATGCTTGACCAGTGCAGTCCAGTCTAATGAAATGTAACACAGGGTGAGGGGCGCCACCCTCCTACCTTTCTGACCCTTTGGGGAGCATCAGCCAGCAAAGCCTAACACTGTTCAGACTCAGCTGTGTCTTTTATAACCCAAAGATGAAATAAATTCAGAGTTTCCAGAAAACTGAAAGGAAAATCTTCCTTTGCAGGCATCCTCAGAAGCAAATAGTCGCCTGCTGCCCAGTGGTGTCTGCACAACTGCAGAGCAGCGTCCAAACGCCTACATCCCTGAAGCAGATACCACTCTTCCCTTGCCAAAACCATATGGTGCTTTGGCTCCTTTCAAGCCTAGTGAACCTGGAGCCAATATGAGGCACATAAGGAAACCGGTTATAAAGCCAATTGAAATCTGAAAATGTGAACCAATCCAGGCTTCTCAAAAAGAGACTTCCATCAGACTTCCTCTCACCTATGCTGGAGACATGAGCATAATCGTCCAGAAAGGTAGGCCCAACAACAGAGCACCATGGGGCTCCCTTTCACACTCAGCAGCGACTACATTTTAATGATGTCCAGTGGGATATACAGTTGTCCCACAATTATGTCAAAGGATATATTTTAACGCTCATGTATTTCCTTTCCACTCTTCATATTGATTACATTTCAGAAATATAGAATAGGCAGGTGCTGTAAAAGTGCTAAATAAATAACTTTCCAATGAAGTACAGAAACTATCAGTGTGGTCTTTGTTTATTAAAGAACAAACAAATACTGTTCCATAAATGCACATTGAAAGGACAAACAGAATGTCTGCAAAGGAAAATATCCCAAGTAGCATGAAGGCACTCCTCACTTTGTTGAACAGGTACTTGACGGCCATGTTGGTAAGTCTAAATCATGTGAAAAGCTTGTCATTTCTGAATGCTATAGTGATTCCTTTTACAAGACTCTTTGTACTCAAAAAAACTCATGCCCTAATTTATCTTTCTTTACAACCCATATTTTTCATATCATCTGCAAATAACCTCATACTTTTAAGCTCTGATACCAGATTTTTTCAAAAACTCTGTCAAAATACTGTACTTAAAGCTATGCAGATGAGAAAAATTGAAAATAAGGCCAGTTCTACTTATTTACTCCAATATAATTACATTTCACACAAATTTGTTTTCCTAACTCTGATATTTTCTTCTATGAGAATACGCAAGGAGGTTTGAAACCTGTGTTTTTACATTCGTTACTGTGCTAAAGCTACATTTTGCACTGATAGCGTTATGAATTTCATGTCACAATTCTGGGGGTGAAAAATACTGTGTACCACCTGTATTTTGCTAAATCGAGCACTCTGTTCTAAGTCCCTTTCCTGCCAAATTGGAGGGAAATTTATTTCATCCTCATTCTGGAAGTCCTGAATCTAGCCCAATTGCTTTGCAAAGTCAATGTAAAGCAATTACCTGGGGTGCCTTTGATAAATAACATTGTGTAAACCATGTGGTTAATACAGAGAAATCCTGCATGCTTAAACAGAGTTCCTGTGTTTCAGGAATTAGTACCCTCTTTAGGGATTAAAAACAGACCTGACAGAGGAAGTTTAAATATAACAATGGAAAAATAATTTTTAAATCACAAAGGGATGGATCCTTAAATATGAAAGAAGGCAGGTGTCACCATGTGCTGAAATGATCTGGATCGCAGTCGGATGGAACTTTGTATCTGATGCTTAAACAGCAATAAGATTTTAATAGGTAGAGAGGGATTCCAGATGGAGGAAATAGCCTGAGTGAGCCTTGGAAAGAAGAAAGCAAACTTGTGTTCAGGGCCTGGTGAATGAGCCCAGCTCTAACAGAATGTTGACATTACATAGGGTCAGAATTTGGGAGAGATGAGTGTCAAGGAGTTTGAGTGAATAGCAAATTACTGAAGAATTAAGAGCAGAGTGACAGAGTCAAGCTAATATTTATCTCAAGTCTGTGTCCAATAAATTAGACTTTAAGAAATGACAAGTATGAAAAGAAATGAATAAAAGCAGGGAATGAAGAAAAAAAGAGAAACACTCAGCACTGCATTGCTGATTTGGCTCCAAGAATTTGAGTCTTGGTGACCAGAAAATATTTAAACAAAAAGAGAAATTCTATAGGAAAGGACAATGATGAGTTTAGAAAAGAAGTTGAATTACCATACCAGCTAATGATACTTATAGTCACTAAAATTTCACACATGTACTGAGGGAAACAGTGTAAGGAGGGGAAAGCAAAGGGTTATGAGCTGGCCCTGGAATCAGAGTAAAGTCACTGTAGAAGATTAAAAAAAAGAAAGGAAAAATGGTACAACTTGTTAGGTGTCATGGGGACCTCTAGAGGAATATGTTGACAGACTCAAGATTCCTCGCTCAAATTAAAAGACTAGGTTAAAAAAAATAGAGTTAGACCAAAGCTTTAGCAGTTGCATGTTTTTTAATGACAATATTACTACAACTTTTATAAATATAAAAAATTAAATACAGTTTCATTTGAAAAATCACAAAAACAAACTCCACTCTAAACATTATATGTATAAATTACTACTTGTTACAAATTATTCTGTACTGGAGATAGCAGATATGATTTAGTCTAAATTCACTTTTTTAAAGAGCCTCTTTCCAAGTAAAGTTCTTATTTAACATTTTTTTCTACCTGCTATCCATCTAGTTTTTGCTGTTCGCAGCACTGTTCCCTAAATTTTAGAGTATATGTTCTTTTGGAATGCAATAGAAAATAACGTTGGGCCTATTAAGCCACTAGGAAGAGCACTGTTGATGCTATTGTTTTGTCTTCTGGAACTGGTTGTCATTTTTCTACACTAGAATGCTTCTCAGCTGCTCAAAATTGGTATAGACATATAGCATCTTGATCAAGTACCAAACTAAAACTCAGATGGCTCAGCAATATAATCTAATTTGTTACCAGTTTAAAATATTGCTAAAGGATTCTCAACAAGAGAAAGGTTAATGAGTAAGATTAACATATTGGAAGCAGATACAATTGCATTTTCCCTTTTACAAGCCCAAAAGCACAGTGGTGTGTTTCAGAGCTGCTGCTTCTACAAATTGTGCATCCACATTGTCATGTCCTTCAAAATCATACAGAGCTGGAGGGAAAAAAAATGGAGAGAAAGAGAGTATGTGTTACTAGGAAGCCATGCAATATTTAGAACTTTGTTCCCACAGCACATTGGAGTCCTAATTATTTTATATGCTAGCGGAACTCATTATTCTGAGAATATGTTGTTAAATTTCACTAGTATTTAGCACCAAGAAAGAGCTTTCACATTAACCAAGTGGGCTGTAGGCCTGTTGAGCCCTTTTAAATCTTCGAAGGTAGTTAAAGTTGTATATTGCTAACGAAAATTAATTGTAGTAAGGACATACCTGTAAGTGAGGAATATCTGGGGAAGAAAACAGTACCCACAACTGAAAAGGGAATGGATAGGGTGAAACCCTGTGAACAGAAGACTGAATTACCTTGATTGGAGGACTCTAGATCAGTCAGAATTTCAATGAAGTAGTTCAGAGGCAGAAATTCTACACTGAATGATGACTTGTCAATCATAGAATTCCGAGGCTAAAAGAGAAACCATGTCTGGTATTAGTTGATTTTCCAAAACAAGCCCAAACCTAAACAAAGTGATAAGAACTCAAATTGCTGTCCATATGGATACTTGATGGGATCTAAAAAACATTTAGTGGTTGTGCTTTCTCAAACGCACCTGTTTCTTATAGTTCTGAAGCAGTCGTGTCACATGGCGCCTCGAAATGATGTTGGAACTCATAGGATGATCCCAAAGTTGACAGATTTTCTCACCAATAAGCTACAGTGAAAATTGAAAGATATATAGAGACGAATTAAATATATCTCATATCTTTTCATAATTTTAAAACCTATTCCAAAGTAGCTCATTGTTCTAAAAGACAGGCTTTTTGTGATCAATGACACTTTGGAGAAAGGCCATGTGTGTATGAGGTATGCTTCTGAATTCTGAATAAATACTCAAGTTCTCGCTCAAGGAAAGCAGTTTGCATACTGGTGCTGCCAATTTTTTTTCTGCAATGGAGTTTATCTACTACCCTTCAAAGCTGGGGGGGTGTGGGTGACAATCCAAGTGACACTGTGACAGGAAACTCAAGGGTGTAGATGTTTAGCTCAATTTTTCTGCCCTTGTCTTACCTAGAAAATTTTAATTTCCTAAGAGTATGGGGCAAAAAGTCAAATTTAGAGACCAAACTAAGTGTTCAGCAACATTCCCCAGAGAGGTTGAGCCTTGGAGAATATGCTTTGTTCTCGATCCTTGACTTTCCTTCAGTAAGCCTGTGAGGGGGAGAGACCTTTACAAAGCAAGACTGCTTGGTCCAGAAAGCCAACGGACAGCCCTTTGGGAGAGGATGGGGCCAGAGGTACAAGTGCTCAAGGTATGTACACAGTGGACAGGGTAGGCTAGGGCCTTAGCATCAGGAAGCTTCCAAAACCAGAGGTTTGAAAAACCTTGCTGTGGAATTTCATATTCTAAGAGCATTTCTGACTCAGAGAGCTAATATCCCCTACCAAAGAAAATTTCAAAAAGAAAGATGCCTTTATAACTTCCCCTCATGTTTCCCATTCTTCCTTTGGGAATGTTTTCCTGTAGGCAGAAATGTAGTTAGGAGGAAATGCAGTTCCAGAACCTTCTGACCTCACCTGTATATAAATTTGTTATCAGTTTAAATACCAAAAGCACATGCTTCCCCTCCCTCCCCTACTTAGACTCATGTAAATATTAGCGTGGTTTCCTGAGAGGAGAAAGTGGCTGAGTGTCCTCAGTGTGCTGTGTGCGCCAGCACAGTGCAGAGCCAGAGGACCAAGGACTTTGTGAGCCCAGTGGGGAAGCCGACAGAGGGGTGGGGATGGATGGGATTTCTTAGAAAAGGCCGAAAAATGAAACAATTCAATAGAATTTTGCCAAAAGCAAGTAAAAGCTCTTCTTAAAAGAAGAAATTGGAGGAGGGTGTGCCAAAACTTAGGGGAAAATAAAACTCAGGGTTACCGGAGGGAGCCGTACAATGATGCTGAATTTTAGTTTTTCATTCTTCTCTGTATTGTCCAGGTCTAAAAGAAAGTAAGATTGGCAAATAAGATAGAAATGTCCATTTTAATACCTCAGCAAGTTTTTAATAATTGAGCGGTTCATCCTGATAATATGCATTCCAACACTGCATTTTCAGGCTAATCTAACAATGCTTTGAAAATTTTAGTTGGTGACTGAATAAAAAGGGATTTGACTAGCTTAAAACAGAAGGTACTTTAGGAATGATGGATGTATTAGTATATATTAGCAAAACTCATTTATTAAAATACCACATTTTAATAATTCCAGTGAGAGTGATTATACTACAGACCTTACTTAAAGGTCAAATTCACATAAACACTGCATCTCTCATTAGTTTTTCTTGTATTTCAAGTCTAACAGAGTTAATCAGCTGAAAGCAATTCATTTTGTGACAGTTTCTTAAGGAATAAGCCAATAGAATATCATTGCCTCAAGTGCCCTTCTGTACAGAAAAAGAATCTAATAGCTGTGTGTGTATTCAAAAGTCCTTTGGGACCTCTTGAAGGGCTAAGGCACTTTAAACTGGTCCAAAGGATGGTTCCAGGAAATAGACTTTACCCAACAGGACCAGCTGCATAATTTGTGGGGGCCAGTGCAAAATAAAAATGAGGGAGTATGGGTACAAATATTAAGAATTTCAAGATTTACTGCAGAATGTCAAGCCAAGCATGAGACCCTTCTGAGTACAGCCCAGCCCTGTTTGTCACACACACACACAAAACCAGCCCTGAGGGAGCCCAGACTGGAACTAGCACTCTGGCAAACTTAGAGTCTCCTACCTTTCATGAGCCTGGTGACAGCTGTTTCAGTGAGAAGCAACACTCCACTATCAATGTAGTGTAGCAGGTTGTGCAGAGGAAGACAATGGACCCCAAGGATGGTGTGCAGAGTGTGGAAACCTAGGATGAGTGATCCAGAGGGTAGACACAATCAGCTATCACCTCTGGAGTTTCAGGGAAATGAATTAGATCCTGTTGATAAAGCACTTAGCTCAGTGCTTGAGGCCTGCAGTCAACTGAATTGCTTAAAGACAAGGTCCAAGTTTCCTTCTTTATTTTATCACAATTAACAGCATGCTGGGTATATAGCAAGTTCCCAGTAAGTATGTATTTCCCTGTTCTTGAATCCCTTCCTAGGCAAAATGAGAGCAAGGCCTACTCAGTGAAAAATGATTTTACAGTTTATAATTTTATAGCAAGATAGTGAAAGAAAACAGGAGAACTTCAAACTCTATGCCCAGGCTAAAAGATTGTTAGGATAAGGACCATTTTGTTGAAGGGGAAAAAAATTGGAACCAGAAGGTAACAGTTTATATGCTGCTCTTTGGTCATCTCCTAGAGAGAAGTTTTTGGAGTCTACCTGGACCAAATTATAAAAAAAGAGAATATAAGTGACTTGGCAGATATCAAGTCTACAGGAATTCTGTATAGAAGTAGGCCCTCTCTCAAGCCTAAGTCTCAGAGGAAGGGCTACCTGAGCACTCACAAAACCAGCGCTTAAGTATACTTTAGTGACAAGGGGACAAAAAGCAAAATGCACAGAAGATATCAGACCAAGAGAGAATCAGAAAAGGCCTCTTGAAAATGATGGCTTTGAAGGGTAAATGCAATTCCCAGGAGTAGAAATAGGGCAAGAGAATACACTGAGTGGAGACAGTAGAAAATGCTAGATCCAGCATGAGACTACTTGAGCTAGACTCCTGCTGTGTTACCTACCAGCTATAGGTAACCAAGCCTGTCCAGTTTGCATTTCTTTATCCCTAAGATGGGACCACCAGTTCTTTTGCCAGGACTGCTTGGAGAACTACGGGCAGGTACGCAAAGCGGCTACAAGGGTGTAATGGTGGCTGACATTAGAAAGGAATTGAGACCATCGATCTAGCAAGCATTGGCTCATCTCATCCTCATTGACATGATGGGGTGGAACCTGCTGGATTCTTGTTTCACTGATGGAGATTCACAGCAGCTAAGAAACTTGCCCAGGAACAGAAGAAAATAGTAAGCAGCAAGGTGAAACAGCCTGAGCGCAGGCAGTGGGATTGTAACCTCTGCTCCTCACAGAACCTTACTCCACCTCAGTCACTAGTAGTTGTGGTAATAGAAAGAGTGAACAGAGACTAAAGGTGAGAAACCACGGGGCATATTAGAACATATGAAATGATCCAGTTGAGTTAGAATCTTGTATGAGAGTTAAATGATCAATAGATAAGGTTAGACCTGTTAATTTATTCAGCAAGTACCTCCCATACCACAGGCCAGGAGCTAGGAGTACAATCAGAGCAAAACAGGCACAACTGCTGCTTCCATACACCTTGATCAAGCAGGCAGACAATCGACTCACCACAAAAATAAATCACATTTTCAAGTGTGAACAGCTCTGTGTTATATGACCAGTTCTATGTTAAGGACTGAACACTTGATGATAATGAGAAATTTATTGATTTAGGCAGCTTTGGGGCGGCATTGTGCATTTTCGGGCAGTATGAAATGAGGACTAGTGTGTCATGTTTGGAATATTAATATGTCAATAGGCAAAGAATGGATTGCAGCAGCAACCTGCCACAGGAGGTCCGAAGACCTATGGAAAGTTGCATGGACATGGATGAGAGGTGCTGAGACACCGATGGGGAGCTAGGAGAGAAGGGAAGAGATGCACAATAACAAAGACAAGCTTGGCAACTAACTGGATGCAGGAATGATGGAGAAGAACAGTGGTCTACTCTTGGAATGAAATGATACCCAGTTGGCAGGAGCATGGATTCAGAGAAGTCATGGAATTTTCTCTCACTGAGCACATGAGCCATGAGCAGTGAGGCAGTCCTCAGTCCTGGCAACATCAAGGGTCAGAGGAAGTGCAGCCTCTGTTCACAAGCAGATTTTAGTGGGATAAGTCTAGTAGCCTCCCTGAATCCAAAAGCAATTATAAAATTACTAGCTAATTAACAACATGAAACTTTTCAAAAGAATTTGGAATTCTTTCATAAATTAAGAAAAAGTTACGAAGTTATTTCTGAGGAAAAGTTTATATTTGATTGTTGGTCCTATTCATTTCCTGGATTCAATTTCTTCCCTAGTTCTGTGTTCATGGCCTAAAGTCTTGGATGACCTTTCATCCTGTGCTGTCCCTAGGGCACCGTCCCTGGTTCAGTGGCCTGTTCTTGGCTTCTTCTCTGTATGACAGCTCTGAGCATAGAGCAAATAGGCTTTAACCTGGCATCAGTGCCATCCAACTTTAGTCCTCATCTCCCAGGGCTCCTGCCTCCACTAGCCAGTGAGAGAAAAAGTCCTTTTGAAACAGAAAATGCTCTTGCTCCAAACTATCACTTCCCTGTCGTGGTCCTTTTTCCCTTCTTTTCTTAACCATTTGAGTCACAAGTTTCTGGTGCTTGGAACTCAAACAGTCCTCACTAGTCTGTCTGGAAAGTAAGCACCCTTGCATGTGTACATGCGTAAACACCTGGATTTATGTTCACATGGATGCACACGCAAATGATCTAGCATCACTTCACTCCTCTATGTGCAGGTCACATAAGGAAAAGAGACATTTAAGAGAAAAGGAGAGAGAGAATCTGATCTTGAGGTCTGTAGGAAGTAAGTTTTCATGATCTCTCAGGGATAATAATTTTCCCAGAAAATCAGTTTCATTTATTTTCAATAAGAGCTTGCATATCCACAAGTGAGCAAATCGGATCAGGCCACTGTCCTTCCAAGTCTTCAGTGTTGAGGACAAAC